CCGGCCCACACTGCGCCTGGGCTGGGACTGGTCCCGCCAGCGCAGGGTAGCAGGAAGCTCTCCACACACTCACCGGACCTACCGCCCTGGTCTCCTAGTCTGCCCAAGCTGGTGTCTCAGAGATGCCTGATTGTTAGGCATTGCTCTCCGCCCCCGGCCTCCCACAGCCCTGTCCAGGCTAGGCTCCCTGAGGGCAGGCCATGTCCTAGATTGTGCCGCTCCAGACCAGCATGGCAGTCTGCCCAGGAGAGCCCCTGAGGGCAGCGTGGAGAGCTGTGGCTGGGGTCAGCAGTGAAGGCCACCTGCACCTGAGTATCCTCAGGCTTTCGTTTCAAACCCACAGGGCTGGGCATCCCTGGCAGCAGCTGCGTGTGGACTGAGCTCTCCAGCTGGGTGCATGGAGCTGTGGGCCCCGGTGACTCAGCTGCAGCCCACCGCTCAGCCGGCATTGGAGGGACGCTCAGAGAGAGGAGGCCTCTCTTACCACAGACAGCGCCACTCGGGAAGAGCGGGTGGGGACTTGCTCAGCTCCCTGGGCTGCTCAGCTGCACAGACTGGGAGAGAGGGGGAAAGCCAGACCCGCTGTGAGCCGAGCTGCAGGCCAGGCTGCCAGGCCCCAGGGAGGCAATGTCCGCCTCCTGAAGTGGACGCAGCAGCTCTACAGCCAGGTCTCAGAGGCTTCATTACCTGGAGTGGATGGGTCCCACTGAGGCCAGAGGGTGGGGTCAGATGCCTGGGGACAGGCAGCTCCTGGGGTCAGACACATCAAGGACACAGTGCCGCAGAGCCAGACGGTAGCGCTGTAGAAGACCTGGTCTCCGGACGTGGGGGAAGCGAGGCAGTTCATGGAGGTAAATCACGGGGGCCAGAGAGGTCAAGTAGGGCCTCAAAGAGCAAGAGGGGGCAAGCACAGTACCTGTCTCTAAAAGACAATTGGCTGCATCTTCTTTGAAGATAAATACAAAAATCGGCAAGAAATATGCTGTTTAAGAGTAATCTCCGAAGAAACAAGAGCTAGAGGAATGTTTCTGTTCTAGCCTTGGGACTGAATAATGTAGGCCACAGGACCAAAGTTACCACCGGCCACACCTGCGTGCCCCACGCTTGCTCCTGGGACAGGCTGAGTCTCCACTGAAGACCCTCTCATCTTGATATCCACTCACTCCTACGTTCACATTTAAGTTTAGAAATCAGACGACATTCTTGGGAAGGAATCACCCAGGACCTGGAGGAACTCGTGGCAGCAGGGCGAACACAGCTGCCTTGCTGTTCAGCAGGAGCTTACGTGGTACTTGCTGGGGCCTGACATGGCATCAGCTCTGTGCCTGTCATGAAGCTTCCTATCATTCCGTGTAAATCTGCAGAATCAGCGCCCTTTAAATCTTGTTGCCAGGGTTACCTCTCCCTTCATTAGCAGCATGTCCTGGGTGTCGTATCATCCGGCACCAAACACCCACAGCTTCCCAGGCCACCCACGACCCCCCCTCAGGTCAGCAGAGGTCATGTGAGGCTCTGCACGCTGATGCCGCAGGCAGCAAGACCACCATGGGCTCTCCAAAGTGCGCGGCTTGCAACGTTGCTAGTAAGCGCCAGTGCTATCTTTGAAACCGAGACTCCACAAGAGATCTTTTTGGATTCGAACTTCTTTCTTGTCACTGCACATGGGGCTGCCCCGGGGTGAGGTGTCCGCACACTCTACGGCACCAATGTCCTCTGCAGACAGAGTGGGGTACCCGGTACGCCTGACATTTCTGCCACCAGTCTCTAGGAGCCCGAGGCTCTCACACTTTGGTTCTGTGATCTTTTCCTTGTATAGCAGCCACTGCACTCATCACAGTATAACATTACTTGAAATATGAAAGGAGTGAGTGTTTCTATAAATTATGCACGGACCTTAGCAACCTAGCACATGCACAACAAGCGGCAAACATGGTCGCTTGAGCAGCTACAGTAGTTAATATCAATGCGCTGGAGTAAGCTGAGAAATGGAGCGTTCAGAGAGCTGCTGATCTGAGCCTCAAACACCCATCTGATGCGTAATTTCCCCCTTGGTACAGCACATTAGTGCATGACATGAACACATTTGAAACGACCCAGACTCTCGATTTCAAACAATCAAACTCATTTTCCCTTGAAAGCAATAAAATAAATGAAAGCACATTGTCTGTGAGTATATTGTCGTGATTAAAAAAAAAAAAAAAAGATAAAAAGGCTGCATCGTGCTCCATCTTATTCCCCTCACAGCCTCCTTGAGTTCCAGCAAATCCAACTTCAGATGAGTTGCTTCCTAGTCCTGGGTGAGCTGCCAAGCACGGAGCAGCCAGGGGTGTGTTTCTGGGCACACCTGACAGCGGCTGGCCTTCTGCAGGCAGTCACCTCGGCCAGTGAAGACGTGCACCCCGCGGCCGCGGAGGGGTGGGCTGCAGCTGTCGCAGCTCAGTCCCTGCCTGCAGAACAACATCTCTGGGCTCTTTCCAGACCACAGGAGGCGGCCCTGCCCCCGCACGAGGACATTTCACCTTGCATGTCACGCCCCAGCGCCAAACGCCTCCTGATGAAGCATGACATGAGGCCAGGGATCCAGCCCTCTGCCAAGCCCACACCCCTCAGAGCTCAGGCTTCGGCACAACTGCAAAGGGTCTTTTTCTGTTTGATGGGCACTATGTAAGCTGGCCTTGAACTCACAGTGATCCTCCTGCTCCAGTCCCCCGAGTGCTGGGATTCCAGGCGTGCGCCACCACTCCTGCCTCCTGCCAAGATCTTGTTCTAATCAAAACCTCTCAGTGCCCCAATCGCTACCTTCAGCAAGTGAGTGTTGCTAAAGACAGAAAGACAAGCTATGAGCAAACCCGACAGCGCCTAAGGCAGAGGAAGTGACGCACGTCTCCACCTTGGGCGGCAGTCCTTCATTCTGTGCTGTCCACCACCGATGAGACTGAACCAACAGGACGCTCTGCAGCAAGGCCTCAGGCATGCAGACCTGGAAATCCAGCTCTTTAAGTCAGCCGGAACACAGGCTGCATTTGCCACTGAAAATGCAAGATACTTGTTTCCATCACTTCTAATAAGTAACTCCCACATTCCACTCCCCTATTTAGGGCCAACTGAAACAGAATTTTCTTATGCCCTATCTGGAGCGCACCCTCAGCCTGGCCTTTCACAAATGACCACAGAGTATGAGGCATCCCTCCTGCCCGGTCACCCCAGGGTGGCAGAGCTTTCCCGGACCTGCGAAATGCAGGAGGTATGTCCCCTCCCTACCCTTTTCTTGCTCTCCAAGGTGCTAGCGAGTGATGGTCCCTGATTTTCTACTCCATGACAATGCTGACCACGTGACCAAGGCCACTCCTGCTCCATCAGGGCCCAGGCCTCAGGAACACCAGGAACTTGAGATCTATCAGGAAACCACCACAGGCACTCAGCCCACCAGCCACACTCCGCCCCCACCTTTACGGACAGCAACATGGGGGACCTCTGCATGGTGCAGCCCCAAAGCCTCAGGCCAAGTCACACAGCTCTGCCATGCCTGTGCTGTGCATGCCAGCTCTCATGCCTCCAGACCTCTCAAAGGCGACGCTGAGGTTTCGTGGCCCAGTGGCACTGGCTCTGGTGGCCAGGTCTCTGCCCTGACTGTGCGGGTGCACACACGCATTGCCGACAGCCTTACCTGTGGCCTTCGCAACATCTGCGGTTGTCACATTTTGGACATTGGCACTCACTTTGAAGGTCACCGCCGGCCCCAGGACCCTGAAAGAGACCATTCAGAAGCAGGTCATTACCAAGTCGCCACAGGGGCCCATCTGAGAGCTCCCCAGGAAACCCTGAAAAGTGCAAGCACGCGTCCCATATGCTGTGCACTGCCTCTGTGACCTCTGCCCCACCCCAGCCTGCTTCGCTGTGAACTGTGACCCTGCTCCAGGTCCCGCAACTCCATCAGCAGTTCCATCAGTGGGTGTGCTCTTCTGAAACACTCCGCAGTGAGACCTCGCTTGTGAAAATGCTCAGATCCACCCTAGGACCCAACGCGCCCCTGAGGAAACAGGTAGCAGGCAGGCACTCCCCCAAGGGAAAGCGAGCGCCGTGTGGACCAGGCCTTGCGCTGGCTCCCAAGGGGGCACCAGGAGTCAGGGCAGAAAGGAGGGAGACGAGGCTTTCAGACTGCTCGTGACAGGAGCCATCTGAAAACCACCACTGCTCCGTGGAAAGATACCTGGCAGGGGACAGCTTGGTGAGACTTGCTGACACCGGGTGGGGCTTTGGAACACCACATTCAGCGCGCTTTGGAGCAACGACGCGTCTGCAGCACTGGATGCCTGGTGCACACCAGGTATGGCCAGACGTGGAGTCCAGTCTGACTTAGGAAGTTGGGGCCATCTTCACAGTGGTCTCCCTCAAATACCCTCCAACCTACCCAAGGACAAGAGGTAGGGCAGAAGCCACCTGGGGTGGAGGGGCAGGAGAGGAAATCCTGCTTTCCTAAAGCCCCCCACTCCCACAGAGGTCCACAGAGTCCAGGGCTCCTCTGTACCCCACCCAAGCTACAGCCCTTCCTGGCCAGCTCCTCCCTGCCCTCAACTGGGACACCACGGCTGCCAGACTGAGTCTCTTTGAAGCCCTGCAGAGCTTGTGGGCTCCGCTGCCATCTCTGCCTGCGAGACCTTGGCGTCCTCTTCCAGAGCTCAGACTCCCCTTCATGGTAGCCGGCTCAAGCACAGGCCTCTCTCTGCCCAAGGCACTGTCATCATTGCCCGGCAATACCATGACTAATCGCCATCTCTGGCAGAGTCCACAAGGAAGTCCAGCATCACTCGAACTCAGGATCTACCCTGGAGCTCCGCTCTGAGTAGAAGGTGCTGCCCACGGGCACTTGGACAGCTGTACCCCCAGGGTGGCTGGCACGGCTGCAATACTGTCACTGTGTCCCTCCTGGCCATAAGCCGCATGCCAGCCACTCTGTGCTGCCCACGCAGAGCTGAGTTGCTTCTGTGTCCAGCTCTCCTGCCCGTAGGACCAGGCGTCCCCTGTGGCCCTCTTGCAGCACAGGGGCTGCAGCAACCTGCCTGGAGATCTCTCCCGGCCCTCATCGGGGCAAGAGGCCAGTCAGCTCCCATCCTCCCAGAGTGGGCGCCAATCCAGGGAGGAGGTTGTATGTCCCAGGGTGGTCACGTCCCTCACACCGCCCACTGCCTGATGACTTTGGTTCCCTCTCCTACATGATGCTCAGTCCTGGTGCAGCAGCCACAGTCCAGAGCTCTGGAGATTCAGTACCATGTCACAGGGCCAGTGGGGCTGGAGCTTGAGCCTGGTGGGTTTCTACACCCTGACCATCCAAGGACCAGGTGTGGGGTCTTCTTTCCTCCCTAGGGCTCCATGGGGGCAGCAGACAGCGGGTACTGGCTCACGTCCCAGGGAGCCCCTGAGCACCCTGGGGGCCCCAGAGAGAAGCTGGAGCCCAGCTCTGCAGAGGCGCTGGCCAGGCGTGGGGCACCGGGGTTGAGCGTATCAGGAACAGGTGATCCAGGCAGCTTCAAAAGGAGGCTCCTGCAGCCGGAGGCACTCTGGAGAGGAGAGGTAAGTGGTAGGTGCTGGGCCTCCTGCCTGCCAGCACCAGGAAGATCCTCCTGCAGTGGGAGGCCCAGGCATTCATCCCCATTGTGGTGGACATCCATAAAAGGTCCACTTGTCACCAGGCCTGGGGAAAATAAATCCTTCGAAGGGCATCATCAGCCATCATGTCTCAGAGAGTAGCCAGAGGTTTGTGTCGGATCCTGGGAGCCTGCTAGGCCCTCTGCTCTATCATGGGATGCATAGATGTCTGCACTCTTGGTTCCAGGAGCCCTGCTGGCTCAGAAGTGCCATTCGAGGGCCTCGCCGGGGCACACACGGCCTGGGGCCTCACAGGAAATCTTGGCACCTTGCTGACGACTTGCTGAGGAAGGGGGACACAGGCCTGGTGCCCCCTCACCCCGGGGCTGGAACAGACAGAGCCTCTCCCAGCATGCATGTTTCCAAGCATCAGGTGAGGGTGACCGTCTTCAGGGGACAGAGGACCAGTGGAGCAGAAAGGCCTTATGACCAAGGTACAGCTCCGCAGGGCCCAGGGCGGCGAGGTCTGCCTGGGGCCCTGCCAGTCCTGCGTGTGAGCTGCCGGTGTGTGCACCAGTGCTGTGATGGCCCAGGACTCTGGGCAGCGCCCCCTCAGCACCCAGCCCAGGGATGACATGAGGTGCTGGGCTGGCCCAGTTTTCCAGAGCAGGGAAGTGCGTCACATATGTGGGTCTCCGAGGAGGAGGAGCTCACCCGCGCAGAAGGTCCTCTGTGCCCTGGGAAGGAAAGGGCCTTGCTGTGGCCCAGTGGTGTGCGGCAACTGTGGCACCTGCGGCACACTGTGCCATGGCTCTTCCGTGGAACAAGCCCATCAGAGTAAACAAAGCTCACCATTGCCACACAGGTGCGATTCCAAGTCAGGCTGGACCCAGCAGGAAAAGCTAGGCCCTTGAGGGTCTGTAGAATTCCTGAATGAAAGCTACCTTCAGCCAGTTAAGAAGCTGCACATGTCCGCCTAGGCAAGAAGTCGCGGTGTCACTGCAGCCCCAGCTCCAGGATTTCCTCGGTAACGCACATCCAGTCACTGAGCCCTTCATCGCCAGGGCTCTGCCTGACACTTTCCACATCGACAGCCACTCATTTCCGCTTTACAGTCATGGGCCATGTTAACAAAGAACAGAAATAATTTCTAGTATTTAACACTAATATACTGCATGTTTTCCAGAAACTTCCCCTGCTCTCAGCTAGGGCAGTGCAAAATAAATAAGCCAGCCCAGCATAACCAGAGTGTTGGCATGGAGCTCTGTTTAACTGAGGGTTGCTAAGAAACATTCTTGCCTACTTTATCATTAAAGTAATTTAAAATGCACACATATCCTGCCACCATAACACCAACACGTGATCTCTGAGTCTTCCCAAAGGTCACGTGTCTCGGCTCATCTTCTGACTCTGCCATACACAGCCTGACACGCTGGCCACGGGAGCCAGAGCATGCTGAGCTCAGAGTGCACTATGACAGCCTGGCCCTGGGGTGTGGGGCAGGCTGCACACCCAGGAGACAACTTCTAAACCATTTGCAGAACACAGGAGCCTGCAGATCTCAGTCCAGAGAAGCTGCGGCTGTTGTGGTCGGCCTGGGAGTCGCTGTGTCCACGTAGTGCCAGGCGGCCCACACTCAGGACCACTGGTATCAAGCCTACCTTTTCTTCCTTCAAAACTGCGGACTGAACCGAGGGCCTTCACGCTGAAGTACACCCGCAGATCTTTATTGCTTTAACCTTGAGATAGGGTCTCACTTCTCTGCTAACTTGCCCAGACTGGGCTCAAATTTGTAATCCTCCCGCATCAGCCTCCCAGAGGCTGGGATTACAGGCCTGCACACCACACCTGGCTCATGTATACATGTGCAGTCTCAGAGAAGACAACACGAATAATGATAATCACTACTTTGTAGTCAGTTTACCTAAAGCAAGACTCTGGTACTGTTCTCTTGAGTTTTGTGGACTAAAGAGAAGATAGCAAAGATACATTTGGCAACAATGGGTAATTGTAAGATTAATCATTTAATATTGCCACCTTACAATAACACAAATACAAATGCTGCTCTTTTCAATGAACAAACTTTCTTGAATTTTTTTTTATGTATTTGGTACAGGGTCTAACTATGCAGCTCAGACTCATAGTGATCGTCTTGTTTTCAGCCTCCCCAGAGTGGGGATTACAGGCATGCACCACACCTGGACTAAGTGGTCAGGTCAGTGTTCCTGGGGGCATTGCTGGTGTGGCATGTGGTGCAGGGGATTGAACCCCAGTCCCTGCACTTGCCTAAGCAGGCGCTTACTCTGCTGAGCTATCTTACCGGACCTTGAATGTTATTTTAAAAAAAGATAAACTTCTAATAGGCTAGTCTTGTTAAAACTTGTTTGCTAGTTTATTCCCTTTTGGCCTGGTAGATTGACCTGTGTTTTGTGTTTCTGATAACTGAATTTGGAGTGAAGTTCATAACATTTTGGGTGAAGCTCATAACATATGTGGATAGGTAGATGGATGGATGAGTGGATGGGTGGGTGGATGGGTGAGTGGAAGGATGAGTGGGTGGGTGGGT